GCTCAGGTCCTGGTCAGTTTGACTGTCCTGATGGTGTAGCAATAGACAGCAAAGGAAACATTCTTGTGAGTGAATGTGACAATCATCGTATTCAGCAGTTGTCGTCCACTGGGAAACACCTTAGAACAGTCGGTACCCGGGGCAGTGGACCTCTTCAGTTCCAGTCTCCTGGAGGCATTGCAGTTCATCCTCAGACTGGCAAGGTGTATGTTGCTGACTGTGGCAACCAAAGAATTCAGGCTCTGAACTCTGACCTCACATACTCCAGTAGTTTTGGTAGGAAGGGCTCTAACAATGGAGAGTTCAACTGTCCTTATGATGTAGCTACAGACAGAGATGGCAATGTGTATGTAGCTGATTGTCACGACCACAGAATCCAGGTCTTCACAGTCAATGGAGTCTACTTGAGGCAGTTTGGGAAGGAGGGAGAAGGAGAGGGAGAACTAAACGAACCAGTCAGTATCGCTATTGACTCTGGAAATGTAGTGTATGTTGGTGAGGAGGGGGAAAATCGTATATCAATATTCTCTACTGATGGAGAGTTTATCAAGTCATTTGGAAGAGAAGGTCCTGTGGAGTTCAGTGGTCCATATAGACTAGCAGTAGACAAGAAAGGAACACTGTATGTCAGTGATTATGGGAACCATCGTATACAGATCTTCACCTAATAACACAACAACACAAACCCCCACCTGTACTTCGGTTGTTATAATGTGATAAGTATATAAACTCTTGTACTCAGTCAGTGATTTCAGTAAAATCTATTGACAAGTGGAGCGAGCTGATTTAGTTGTCTGAACAGCGCAGAATATCGTCTCACTGCATATTCATTTAGACTACGCACTGCGAATAGGCAATCGCACACCACAACAAAAGTAGCTGTTAGAGAAAGTTTAACCCTCGGCCCACATGTGCAGCGAGGGTTACAGTACTTGGTCTGTGTGTGCAATACCAATGTCTACATAGCTACTGTGTGTAACAATTTTCCTGAAACGACTGCATTATATGCCATGAAAAACATTATCACGCTGGCTTATCTCGACCTGATTCGCTTGCTCTGTGTTTATAACTTTGAAGTCGCAGAGCATGCTATCTACTAGTTACAGCTAGCCTGTGTCAGACTCTCTGCGAGCTATACAGGCGGGAGACCACGGCACGAACAAATGCATAGCCCAACCCATTAATGAGTGATGCAACAATACACACACTCTCTCTCTCTCTCTCTCTCTCTCTGCAGGCAGCTGAGTCGTCACCTGGTGGGGCTCTGGGTCACGGGGAACCCCACTGCTAATGCCCTCCTCCACAGAGTACTGGTATATACTCAACTCTTCCTTCTCTCTCTGTCCCATTGTCTCTCTCTCTCTCTCTCTCCCTCTCTCTGTCCCATTGTTGGCAAGCAAAGCGAGCTTACCTAGTTCATCTGAATGTGAGAATTTTTATATATCTTTCTCCGTTATACTATAGCATGATGTGTGTCTCTATAATATCCTACAGCCACTGGGTCTAATGCAGTACTATAGCACGATGTGTGTCTCTATAATATCCTACAGCCACTGGGTCTAATGCAGTACCTCAAGTCCAATGAGAAAGTTCCGGAAGAGGCAGACCGCATGCATGTCAGAGACAACCTCAAGGCCGTACAGGTACACAGTGCAATATCCCCTTCTGTCGTCTTCATTCCTTCATTCTCGGTTAGCCACTTTCTATTGTACAATTTCTCACCTACCTGTCTCTCTGGCAGCCACCAGAATCCATCTTGGTTGGTAATTGGTGGTGAAACATGTGCAGTGAAACCACGGAAAAGTCCCTCTGAAAAATTGTTATGCCTGCCACTTACTATACTAATACATCTTATATTTGAAATAAGGGACACCTCTGAATAAAAGGACCGTGTCCCCAAGGTGTCCCTTATTAAGCAGTTTCACTGTATAGGTAGGTAGGGTGGTAGGTATGTTGTTTAAAGGAAACGTCTCAGTACATAATGGCTAACTTTAGAAATGTTACTAAAGATAGCAATAGGGCCAAGTGCAAAAATCCCAATTTGTTTTTTGCTTTTTAGTAACAGTCTCTAAATTTAGCCCTTACTTACATACTGTCACATTGCCTTTACCGTCCCCTCCTCCCTCCTCCTCCCTTGGCCCCAGACCCTGTCCAAGCGAAGGATCAACAAACTGGAGTTGACACTCATCCACTGGCGAACCAGACTTCGCTCCAAACCACAGAGAGACGCAACTGCCCAGCGACCGTGTGACCCTGAGGAAGAGACGACAGCAGATCAAGGCGGAAGATAACTGGCCTCTATTATACTACCAGTTCAACGAGGACCACTCACTGTCTACCCTCATCTGGAACTACAAGGTTTCTACAATGTTTTTCAACAACTCACCTACATCTTTTACAAAAACCCGATTGATGTGTGTTTGATTTTTTGGGAAAGGTTTTATTTGTAGTAGTTGGTATGAACGCTGCGTCAAAAATGCAGTAGATATCATCTGTACTCCATCACCATACCACATAGCAGTACAATTACTATGTATACATGTATTGTGACTTGCGTGGGCGGATCAAAGTTGCCGCGCATACTTTTATTTTCCGTATTGTAGTCGCATTCAATATGGCCAATATTGAACGTTCAATACAAAAATTAATCATCAGCATCATACACATAGTGTAGACAAAAACTGTTCTGTAGAGGCTGTAGAGGCGAGGGATGACTGTTCTGTAGAGGCTGTAGAGGCGACGGGGTGACTGGTCTGTAGAGGCTGTAGAGGCGAGGGGTGGCTGAGGCGACCACACCCCTTCATTCAGCTGCCAGTGGCAAGCGAGACCGTGGCCGCGGCACACCGACCGGTCAAATGGCCCAGCGACCTATGGAACGAGTTTCTCTGAGGGAGAAAGAGCCACCATCACGACCTTGTTCGATTACGGTAGCCTCGAGAACAGAGAACTCGCTCGAGAAGCCAGCAAGTGCGCACGTGCGCATGGGTAGTAGGCTACGCAGTCGTATTTCTCTCGCTGGAGGTCGACGACTGCTACAAAGTCACAATAAAACACATAATGTGCGTCCTATCGTTCTATACATGACTAGAAAAGTCGACCACACCCCCGTTCCCATAAATCACGTATAGAACTCTAAAGCGCACATTATCTCTTACTAAAAGCACTCCTTATACATTCACTATGGCACTACAGCGTGCCATACCCACAGGCTAACTGGGTTGGTAAATTTCTTCACAAAATGTTGCTTTTGTGTGATTTGAGTGGTTTTAGTTGACGTTACCTCGTTTCCTCACTCCAACTTCACCCCTCTCCCCCTCTCTCCCCTCTCCCCTCTCCCATCTCTCCTCTCTCCTCTCTCCCCTCTCCCCTCACCTCTCTCCCCTCCCCCATCTCCCCTCTCTCCCCTCTCCCCTCTCCCATCTCCTCTCTTCCAGGCTACCTAAGAGAGCTCACCAAACTGAACGTCCAGTCCAATCGCATCACTAGTCTCCCCAGGGGCCTCGGGTGAGTCCGTTACCATGGAAACAGTCACCACGGTGATGTTACATAACCACCCCATGTCCAGGTTGTTACTGAACCTCCAACACCTCAGTGCAGGGGAGAACAATCTACTGGAGATACCGGCTGAGATAGGTCTGCCCCTCCCCTCTTTCCCTTCCTCCCTCCCTACGTATATACCTCACTTTTAATTTGCCAGCAAAGTCAGCCTAACTAGTCGTCTGGATGCCTGATGACGGGCACTCCTATACCATAATATTCTACGTCATTCTACATACCCACATAAATTGAACGTCATTCTAAGCTAAATAGGAGTGTGGAGGGCTGTCCGCTCACAAGACTCCCTCCACACGTCGTCGACGGGGGACCCTCCTCAATTATCCAGGTACTTTATCGCCTCAGTTTCTGTGTTAATGAAGAACACACAATACTTCATATACATAGGTTTGTTGCAGTATGGCTACTATATGCCTGGACACTGCCTGGTGCATTCTTATTGGCTGTTGCACGTCAAATATACTAAAAAAGACGCTCCAAATAAAGGACATCTCTATAAGGGACACTTCGTTCTGCCTCGTGTATATACATTAGTGCATCTCTGGGAATTCTTCCAAAAAAGGACGGCCTCTGAATAAACAATGGCCTGAAGTTGGTATTCATAAACTACATTTAGGGTGTTCAGCCTAGTTGAGTTATAATTATTGAGCTTGCATGGAAGTTAACCCTTTCTTTTATATACCATCTCCTCTCTCCTTCCCTCTTACAGCATCTCAAGTACCAGGGTCCTTATCGTGGCCTACACTGATTTGAACTTTGCACTCTGTTGCCATGCCTACTACTGTGTGCATCACAACAACACGAAATGATATTATTTTGTTATTGAGTTTGTAACTATCTATTCTGCACCCTTTTGTTTAGTTAGTTTTTCACCCTCAAATAGTACTTTTTGTACCGCTGGTGTGCGATTCAATCATGTAACATGTCCATTTGTTAGATACATACATGATTTGATCGATTTCTTGTTTACTGCGCATGCCTATGGATAGGACGCCGTAACTTGCTACATCATTGTTGACACTTTACCTAAATGAACACTCACGAACCAAGTACCGTAACCCTCGCTGCGCAGGTGCGCCGAGGTTGGGTATACAACACCAGTGGGGTTCCCACTCCACTCTTTTCTCTTGGCCAAACACCGACACCAAGTTTGCTGCAGGTGCACAATGTGTTGTAATCGATTCTGTTTACTGCGCATGCCTATGGATAGGACGCTGTGTCACCTGGATATACTCTCGTGCTACTCATCTGTTGACACTTACCTAACACCAGTGGGGTCCACTCCACTCTGTCACTCTCTCTCGTTGGCAAACAACCTTGACAATGTACCAACAAACCACCAGTTGCTGCAGCGCATTTTCAGAGCGACCTTTCGTGTGCAACCAATAAAGAGATGGTTCTACTAACCATTAAGCGTAATGATGACGTAATATTTCGCAAAGAGCTCATCGATAATTCATTTTGAAGGGCTTGATGAGTTCTCACGCATGGGAGAACACAGACTATTACGGACAATCGAACTTCATGCGTCCAGTTTCTCTTAGTGATTCTCGACTCCTTTTGCACTGCTCCGCAGCAGCAGTTCTCGCGCAGCTCTCTATCCTGCAAGGATCTCCGCAGCTCTTTATCCTTGCAAGAAATGCATTGCTTGGAATTTCGCTTCGGATGGCAACACCGTCATCTCGCGCTGTCCGAACTGTTGACTGTATTACGCTCAGGCGCATGGGCGTTGAGGCTGCGCGTTTCCAAGAGTGTGGTGTGCGAGTGTCTTGACCTTCGTACCTTCAGGTTTCACGTGAGTGTAGAAGAGATTCATGGACGTTCCTCTACGAAGGGTGTTCTTGACTGTCAAGCATAGCCTAGCTAGCTGCGAGTAAACTGAGCTGATAGCTTTCATCTAGTGGCTTCCCTGCCTCCTCGCGCAGGTAGAGAGTGTGTGGGAGGACCGAGGAGCGGGGAATGGCGCAGGGACGAAGACGTGGCCAAGTTCTACTGCACCAAGCACTCGTGGAGGGCAAGTGAGTCTGGCGAGGAGGGGGCGGGTGGCTGCTGTGGGCAGCTGCGTGGACGCAGAGGCTCGCTGAGGGCCGGGGAGAGAGTTGGGGGAGGGAGAGGGGAGGGGCAAGTGGATTAGTGCAGTTGTGTGGGTGTGCGTGCATGTGATAGTGTCTGCGAGCAGCGCATTAGAGACAGACAGCACAACCACTCAGGACACCCGTGTACATATGTCTACGATGCATACACACAGACGATGTGTGTGTGTCTAATACCAGTAATCAACCCACTTTTCCCTCGCTAATGTGAGGGGGAGAGAGGCAATCACTTCTCCTTGAGAGCCCCTTGACATTTAGGTGAACCTTTCATTGCACACAGGACATGGCTTTCGTCACCTCTCTTTGTAATAAATATCCATTTGTCATTATAAATGAAGGAGTGATATATTTAGAGTGAGCTAGGTTCGAATTGACCAATCAGACTGCCAAAAAGGCCGATGTTTACAGTTTCCTGTAGTAAACCTCGACGGCTGGCCCCTCGGTGCACCACAATGGTGGGACTCTTGGCTTTCTACTGCACATATATAGTTACCTTGAACTAACTAACTAACTTATATGTACATCATCTCCCTTGACCTTCTTGATCTGGTGTGTCTGTGCTATAATGTACAGGTACAAGAGGGTGTTCTCCATAGGGACCAAGGCAATCACTACATACAACCCCAACACTCATGAAGTCACCAATCAGGTGAGGGGACGTGAAATATCCAGCCAACACTGGTAGACAACTCATGTTCATCTGTTTCCGTTGAGAAAGAATGCAACACTATGCAGTACTGTAAAGGCTCACAAGGGAGAGTATATGGGTCATTGGTCTGGGACCTCCCGATCATACTTGCTCTCTCTCCCTCTCTCTCCCTCCTCCCTCCCTCCCTTCCTCCCTCCCTCCCTCCCTCCCTCCCTCCCTCCCTCCCTCCCTCCCCCCTCCGTCTCTGGCCCAGTGGTGTTACAATGAGTTTGTGGGGATTGCTCCTAGTCCCAAGGCCAGCAATGAATTCATCATCACCATGAAGAAAGGTATGCTACACCACTTCATCTCCACTAGCCTGGTTTTGCCTACTCTTTTATTCAACTATCCCTTGATTCATGCTTCCTGCACAATGGAATCTCCTCTTATGAGGACACCTTTCCCCAAGAACAGTTCTTTGTATGCAATTTAACCCCTGAAAGTTCACTATAATATGGATATATACTTTCTTCTGTCCCACTGGTGTCCCAATTGGTTCCATGTTGTCCTCTCCTCAGGAAGGAAGACTCAGCAGATGACCTTCTCGACTGAGTTCAGACCTGAGGTCCTCACTCGCACTCTGGTCAGTCCACACCTCTGCATCTCATTGACTTCACATCCCTCCTCCAACTCACTTCTTCCCTCCCTCCTCCAACTCACTTCTTCCCTCCATCCTCCAACTCACTTCCCCTCTTTGTAAATGGGCACGCACAGAAGCACCTCATTACCATACGTAGTTCATGACACCCCTCCCTCTCTCCCTTCTCCCTCACTTCCCCTCTTTCCCCTCCCTCCCTCACTTCTCCCTTGCTCGCCCTCTCACCCCTCTTTTCCCCCCCTCCCCTCTCCTCCTTGTCGGTGTGTGCAGATGTTCAGTCCGTTGTTCTGTGAGCAACCTCGAAATGAAACAGACAAGGTCAGCTATATATACATCCTTTGACTCCATACTTCCCCTAGTATGACTCCCTCTATGGTGTGTATATGTGTACAGAGGTTTGATGCAGCCAAGTTCCACTGGGACGAGGCCAAAGTCAAGGTCCTCCTAGTGGTGAGTGGAGAGAACAAGTTAGGCCTCCCGGAGTCCCTAGCCCTGGATTCCCTCCTTCCTCTTCCTGCCACCCTCTTATGAGAACCTCTGAATATGGGGCATCTTTGGGACATTACAAGTGTCCTTTATTCATAGACATCCCTTTTTTGCCTGCACTGAAGTATTAGTGTGGGGCAGAGGGCAGAACCAAGTGTCCTTTATAAAGAGGTGTCCGTTATTTGAAGGGTAAAGTGTTGGTATGTGGCAGGCTTTAGAGAGGTGTCCATTATTTGGAGGGTGACTAGTTTCCATTTACTCACTTCTTTCTCCGCCCTCCATCGTTTGTCTTCTCTGGCAGGTTCGCAGGTACTGTGTAAGCCAGGTGGACATCACTGGCCACACTCTCACTGACTACAAGTACAAAGACATCGAGTACATGGCAAAGGTTCAGGTTACACTATACTCTCACTGTGTTATGTCCCTAACTGATTGGAGAATGAGTAGACCAAACAACAGTAGTATGGGTAGAGTGTGACAGAGTGGAGTGTAGCTTGCTAAGAAAACGTATGGCAGTGTGGATTGTAGCTTGCTAAGAAATTGTATGGCAGTGTGGATTGTAGCTTGCTAAGAAATTGTATGGCAGTGTGGAGTGTAGCTTGCTAAGTAATGGCAGTGTGGAGTGAATGATGTTCAGAGTGTACTATATATAGTCATGTGTAATGGTGTTCAACAGGTTGCAGATCATCCGGGAGCCTTTGTTGTGGCTGCTGGCGGATTTGGACGACTGGTGAGTATATTTATAGAATAAGCTGAACACTTCCTTCCTCCTCCACCCCCTCCCTCCCTCCTCTTCCTCCTACCTCCCCTCCCTCCCCTCCCTCCCCTCCCTCCCTCCCCTCCCTCCCTTCCTCCCTCCCTCCCTCCCTCCTCTCCTTCCCTCTCCCCCTCCCTTCCACAGCACATGTTCCTGACAGAGCAGAGAGATGATGTCATGAAAGCCATAATCCTTGCCTCTCGCAGCAACATTGGATACGAGATAGCGTCAGTCACTCTCACACTCACTCTATTATATGCTGCACTACTTCTTACATTCTGTTGTCTGAGGTCAGGAGAGGTAGATATGTACATTGGAGGAATGTGAAACCAACAATGTCTGAATATTGGGAATTTAACTCGACCGAAGTAATTCTTCCTTCTCTCTCCTGACCTCAAACAACTTAACATACACTCATCTACCATTACCAAAGGGATAAGATTGTCTCTTTCTTCTCCCCCCTCTCCCCTCTCCTCAGTGTTCACAGAGACCTCATCACACAACATGACTTCCTGGAGAGGAGACTCGGCAAGTACAGGTATGACCTAATCCCATGGCCATCATTGTACATACCACTGGTGCATGTAGATTTCACTTATCAATCCACACACAGTTTTCTCATTTTAAACAAGTAAATTCCTGTTAAAAATGGTTCCCTAAGTGGGGAATATGCAAAAATTTCAAAAATCTGTGTCTCTCATTTAACTGCTCTCCTTCCTGCTTTTTCACAGTGATGATGACTCCATTACGTCACTTACAGAGTTCAAAGTTCAGAAACACACTCCTAGATACCTGGTCAGTGGGTGATGATGTAATCTTGTGTGATCATCACATGACCATCATGTGTCAGGAGCCGGCTCCGAGGATCCTGGCCCTCTCAGAGAACTGTATAATAGAGAGAGACCCCTCCACTTACATTGTCGTTACCATACGACCACTCAGTGAGGTACAGTGTATATGTATGTATAGAGATGTTGTTAGTCTGATGTGATCTGTTGGTGTCTGTTGCCATGGTGATGTATGTGCAGGTGTTTGCTCTGATTCGCTACACCAATGATCCCCAGAGGTTCAGCATTGAGTACGTCAATGGCATCGTCAGGAAATACAGTGCTACTGAAAGGTGAGTTTCACTTCACCATGGAAATTTGAGCAGTACAGTGGAACTGGACACCAATGGGACCAAAGTGCCCGTGATAAGTTGGTGTCCTTTTTCAGGGGTTAATTGCATGCAAGAACTGTTGTTCGGTAAGAAAAAATTTCCTCTTTAGAGAGGTGTCCTCGTTTTTGGGGTATCCTTTTGGAAGAGTTACACTGTGTGTGTAATGTTTGCTTATACTTTCGTATACACATCTCACCCCCTCCCCCCTCTCTCCTCCTCCCCCTCTCCCCTCCTCCCCCCTCCTCCTCCTCCTCTCCCCTCCTCCCCCCTCCTCCTCCTCCTCCCTCCCTCCTCCCCCTCTCCCCTCCTCTCTCTCTGTCCCTGCCAGAGATGCCCTGCTGTGCAGTATCCTGGATGGAGTGAGGGCCAGTGGGAACAGAGACATCTGTGTGAAGATGACACGCACCAACCGAGGCCAGAGACTGGGGCCACTCCATCTGCCTGTGGAGGAGGAGGTGGAGAGCCAGTACCTCAAATACCTCGTCAACACTCCTCCATGTGAGTCATGTGACCTTCCCTGTGAGTCATATGACCTTCCCTGTGAGTCATATGACCTTCCCTGTGAGTCATATGACCTTCTCTGTGAGTCATGTGACCTTCACTGTGAGTCATGTGATCTGCTTTGAGTTACAATGTGATCCACGATGTAAGTAGTCTGACCTTCCCTTGTTAATCATGTGATCCTTCCAGTGAGTCATGCGACACCCTCTTATGACTCATGTCGCCACAGTCATGTGACTCAAATCATGGTCGTAATACTCTGTCTATGTATAATAGATTTCTTGCTCGATTCAGTAGTAAACACGCCTCCTATCCTCATTCTCTTCCCCCCCAGCGGTGCAGTTCCATGAGGCAGTGGAGAAGTTCAACTCCAACGTGGCTTACAGTGGCCTCAAACATGCCGTGTCTTCTGAGGTCGGGCATTCGTGACAACTCTTTGTCCGTTTTATGTGAAATTTGCCGTTTGTTCTCACGTCTCCCACTTTTTTCAGCCCTCTTGGCCATAGGGCATATATTTGTCATGGGCTCTAAATCTCGAGATTGTAAAAATCCCTATCCTGGTAAAATACATGGAACTGATGGAACTGATGCAGTATTCCACAAACTTGGTTTTGGTAAAATACATATTCAGTTGACATTTTATGCCTTGTAGGGTCTTCAGCTTCTCTTCTTTCTCCCCCTCCACACCCCCTCCCACACCCCCTCCCACACCCCCCCCACACACACACCGTCTGTACTCAGGGTATATTTTCAGAGAACAAGGAGAAGCTCATCAACGGATCCCTCACCGCACTGCTGATGAAGGAAGGAGACCAGAATTCCCTCCCAAATGACAGACTAGAAGAACAGTTCCATGCCCTCAGGAGACTAGTGGCATCCAAGGCTGGCTACGAGGCCTTCACCTCCCTCACCAAGTGAGACGCTACCCGTATTGCTGGACATTTACTAGGGAGAACACTTTAGTAATTTGGTAACAAACAATGTTGCTGGTCCGCAATACAAATATCCCCTAAATTTTCACATATAAAATTGTCATTGACTGTTCAAAAATTGTGAAATTCACCCCCTCAAACGTTTCGCACTATGCGGTGTGTGTGGGCGTAGTCCTGAACTTGCTGCTACTGTACCTTGGCTCTAAATGCATGTGATATCTAGTATGCTGTGCTTACTATGGTAGACTTAGCACACCGTACCTATTTCTCCTTGTCTATGTATATACCCTCTTAGTTTGACAGCTAGTGGGGCAGCAAGTCCATTAAATCGACATATCGTTTGAGACTCAGTGACTATACACTCTTTAGGACTTCAGTGACATATTATATGTATACGTAAGCCCCGTTTACACGGACAAAATTGAATCGGTTTGGAAACTGCTTTACAAATCGCGTCCCGTTTACACATCCCATTTCCCATTCATGATTTAGGCTAAATTGGTTTACGAACTGGTTCAACGTTTCCATGTAAACGGGGCTGTAGATGTCAGAACTTCAGTCGCACATATATATACAGTACGTAGATGTCATAGCGAGCTGTCTACAAGTACACTTGTTTTCATCCGCCCATCGGTTGCTCATGGAAATGAGCGCCAAGAGTGAACATACATATATACATACTTCAGTAAGCACAGTTTGAACTCTGTCATATTTAGCAAACACATTTTCATGTGCGTGTAACCCATACCCCCCTCTCTCTCTCTCTCGTCTCAGTTTCAGGGAGATAGTTGGGAAGAAGGTGGTTCGAGCCCTCCGCAGGAAGGACGACGGGATCAGCCATGCCTGTGTGGACTTCCTGTGTGCCCTCATGCAGCCCATGCACGACAACTACGACCTGAGACAGGAGCAGATGAACAAGTCCTCTCTCCTCTCCAGCAAACCGTTCCTGGAGATGGTGCTGGAACCTCTCAAGACACACGTGGTGGGTAAGACCGCACCACTGGTATATGTAGATATACTGAACTCTAGTGGAAATGATTCTCTGATTTTGGACCCAGTTTACGAAAGGCCAACATTTATACTGTAGCACAACTTTGAAGTGTGAAACAAAAGTCTCATGCAACTTCAATGTATGAGTATATACTTACGATAGCGGAACAAGTTGTGTGCATTAGACAACACTCCTTTCAAGCAACATGTTGCGTGAACCATGCATTGAATCTTTGTCTCATGCTACGTGTAGTTACCCTGTGTTGGCAGTAAGACGCCAGGGGTAGAATTTCCACTTCATTTCGATGCTACGATAGCCCTATATTTGCTACACCAAATGAAAAGCACTGAAGTGCAAACCCTCGGCGCATTGTGATGCGCACGCGTAAGTAAACGCATGTGCTGTACCACTAATTGATGGGCTGGGTTTAGTTTTAGCTGTTACTCGTGGTCTCAGGCCAGCTCGTGCAGAGTCTGACGCGGGCTAACTACACTACTAGATAGCATGCGAGAGGCGATACACGCCCTGCGTTGCATCTTCTGGTGCCTCTGAGGTACGCAGAGCACGCGGATCGATAAGACCGTGGTAAGCTATCTCGTCCGTTGTGTATTTGCATATTGGCTTTTTCGCGCTGTAGCTCTGCAACGGAGCAGTTTCAGAGAAAACCGCACATATTTTCTGACCTTCATTTCCCGTTAAGTAGGTCGTATACTTTGTGAAGCGAACAAACACCCGTGAAGTGGACAGACAGACAGACCCAACTACCATAACCCTCGCTGCGCATGCGCGCCGAGGGTTAAAAACCCTATCCTTGACCCACTATAGATTCCCTGAGTGAAGAGTGTGTTGTACTAGGAGTGAGACTAATGTCTCTTGGGCACTTCACTCTAGTAGAAATGATTATTCTCCCATTGTTAGACCCAGTTTACTAAAGGCCTACTTACTTTAATTATGTAATTAGGGAGTGAGAGTGATGTAATGTTCAGTGGATAACAGCCGACGTTTATTTCTCCACAGCAACTTGGTACGGGAGCACTGGTAGTCAGCTCCATCCTCGATTTCTTCACATTTGCTGTCTGTCCTCCCTACAGGTTTGTACTGTACATACACTACATACACACTATAAAAGGACTAATATTTACAATGTCACTTTCTGTTTAAAGTATATTCATACATGAATGCTGTATATGTGGTGCTCATTGTACTGATGTATTATCTCTACTTTCAGTGAGACAACTGAAGCAGAGAAGTTTGACATGGTTTTGGAGCTCATTTCTGGTCTGTCTCCATTATAACACAGTACTCATTCATTGTCGATTGTATTTTCCTGTAAATATACTCTCCCTACTTTACAACAGTCCTGATTTATTGAAAGGTGCTGCACACATGGAAGTAAAAAAAAAAAGGTTTACCACTGGTGGCGGTGAGTATAATGTTAAGTATTCTCTTCCTCCGCAGGTCTGGGAAGAACAGTGTTCAAACTCTTTCAGGTATTAAATGTAATATGGAGGAAATAAGATTACATATGGCTTTGCAAGTTGAACCACATACACCTACAACCTCGACAACCTGCTGAGCTCGGATAGTTGAGCGCTCACCTAGACTGCAGACTGTCCTGGGTTCGAATCCCACCCAGGGTAGCTCTTCTTTTTTCCTTGGAAAAAGAGTTGTCCTGGGTTTAGTTGTGTTGTTTTTTGTTATCTTTGTCTTGCAGCCTGTTGTTAACACATGTGTAGATAGCTCTTTACAGAAAATTATTTCTTTGTTCAGTCATTCTTTGTTTATTTTCTCTTCCTCAGCACCCTTCTCTGGCCATCGTGGAGGCGGCTGGACTCGTCATGAAGGCCATCATTGAGGTGAATATTACATCATCATTACATCACTGTCTGTCCACGTGTGTTGGGTATGGTATCGCCAGGAGGGGACGCCAGAGATGGCAAAGAAGATGCAGGACCTGGCGCTGGCAGAGGGAGCTCTCCCCCGGCACCTCCACACCTCCCTCTTCACCGCTTCCAGTGACAACAGACTCCTCACTCACAGGTCAGAGGTCAATTCCTGACCACACCCCTCTATCGACATGTGTAAAGCGCAAGCTCACATTGAAGCCCTGGCTTGTACAGGTTAACCAGCTTGTATGTAGATACCACCCACCACACACAATGTACATAAGGAAGCAGCTTCCTCTGCGGGGATGTGCAGTGAGGATTACTTGGTTTGCAGTGTGTGTGTGTCTGTTGGTTTTTTGCAATGTGCAGAGTGGCCAGCCCAGTGTGGTAATTGGGGAGTGAAGCGAGCCTACGTAACTAGTTGTCTGTGGGGGTTTTCTATGTACATCTTTCTTATTCATTTATATTATGTAACGGGCACTGCACATATCGCAATGTTACAAATACACACAAAAATTGAGTTACACCAGCCAGTATGCTTACAGTTTTGGATCCTTTTGCTCAGTACACTGCCTTAATGTGATTGGTCAGTCCTACAATCAGACCATTTGTTTCAGTATTCATGATCGCACTGGAATCTCCAAATAAGGTCTGGTATGCAATAGGGCTGCAGATCTAAGGCTGTGAATATTTGGTAGATTGGCAGAAAAGTCAAGCGCTGTTTCCTGTCAGCCTCAGTTTCACCCATTTCTTGGAGTTAGCCCACCGCCTTTGCTTGCTTCTTTCTTTGAGCAGCTTGCTTGCCTCAGTCTTCACTAGACCCTCTGCTGCACTACTGACAGAGCCATGGCTGGCAAACCCTCCACTGCTGCCGAGAAAGCTCTCCAGAAGATCCAGGACCAGGTCACCTGTGGGATATGTCTGGAGCCCTACAAACAGCCGAGGCTGCTCAAGTGCTTCCACGTGTATTGCGAGCAGTGCCTGCAACGTCTGGTACGTGGGGGACGAGAGGGACAGAGTCTCCCATGTCCACAATGTCGCCAGGACACTCCACTGCCAGTGGGCGGAGTCCCGGGGCTCCAAGGAGCCTTCTACATCCACTACCTCTTCGACATCCAAGACGCCCTCAAGAAAGTTAGCTCCAGCGAACAAACAATGTGCAACAAGTGCAAGAAGTTCAAAGCTGTTTGTTTTTGTCGCACTTGCGGGTTTGCATGCCAGCGCTGCAAGGAAATCCATCAGGATTGGGATGAATTAAAAACCCACGAATTTATCGACCTAGACACCTTGACTGGAGATGTCACCACCCTCGTTCCTCCTCTCAAGAAGATTCTCATTTGTGCCACTCATCCGTCAAAGGAGGCAGACCTCTACTGCGAGACGTGCGACGAGTTGATATGTCGAGACTGCATCGTTCGTGTTCATCGTGACCACCAGTACGATCTGGTGCCCGAGTCGTTTGCCAAGCAAGAGAAAGTGATCGTGGACTCTCTCAAGCCAGTGGAAGAACAGATTGCTACGTTAGAAAGAGCCGTTGAGTCGGTAGACACGCAATGTGCTGCAGTCGTAGAACAGAAGACTGCTGTGGTGGCAGATATCCGGACTGCCATGGCACACCTGCGACAAGTTCTAGAGGCGAGGGAGACAGAGCTGGTGGGTCAAGCTGAGCAGACGGCACAGCAGAAACTGAAGACCTTGGCAGCACAGCGAGACGGGTTTGAACTGCAACTGGGCCAGCTGAGGAGCTGCCAGGACTTTGTGGAGGAGAGCCGACGTACTTGCAGCCAGGGGGAGATTCTGAGGACGAAGAGTCCTCTCGTGAAACAAGTCAACGACCTGACAGGTAGCTTCAAGCCAGAGACATTGGCTCTTGCCGAGCAAGCCGACATGGTGTTTGCTCACAGTCTGCCTGAACTGGTGAAGACTTGCCAGCAGTTTGGTAAGGTGTACTGTCATCCAGTGTGCCCTGAGAATTGTCGAGCCTCAGGTGAAGGCATCAAGGTAGCCACGAGAGGACAAACAGTAGCTCTCTCTGTAGAGGCTTTAGATATGAAAGGAGAAGCCTGCTTCAAACCTGTAGACAGCTTGAGGTGTGAGCTAGTTGCTTGCGATGGCAGCAGTCTAGTCAGGGGCACTGTGAAGAGAAGAAATCAGAACATCTACGACATCAGCTACCGACCTCAGGTCACTGGAGAACATCAACTACACATTCTAACGGAAGAGCACCCGATCTTGAACAGTCCATTCACTGTCACCGTTCTACCCAACTTCAGTGCCCCAGCCAACATCATTGGAGACCTCAAGTCGCCATATGGTATAGCAGTTAGGGAGGGAGGTGAGGTTGTAGTAGTGGAACAGGATAGTCACTGCATATCAATCATCAGTGGAAATGGAGATAAGAAATCATTTGGTACTCGTGGCTCAGGTCCTGGTCAGTTCGACTATCCTGAAGGTGTAGCAATAGACAATGGAGGAAACATTCTTGTGGCTGACTGTGGCAACCATCGTATTCAGCAGTTGTCATCCACTTGCAAACATCTCAGAACAGTCGGTACCCGGGGCAGTGGACCTCTTCAGTTCCGGAACCCAAAAGGCATTACAGTTCATCCTCACACTGGCAAGGTGTATGTTGCTGACAGGAACAACCATAGAATTCAGGTTCTGAACTCTGACCTCACATACTCCGGTAGTTTTGGTAGGAAGGGCTCTAACAATGGAGAGTTCAGTTATCCTTATGATGTAGCTACAGACAGAGATGGCAATGTGTATGTAGCTGATCAGTACAACCACAGAATCCAGGTCTTCGCAGTCGATGGAGTCTTCTTGAGGCAGTTTGGGAAGGAGAGAGAAGGAGAGGGAGAACTAAACGAACCAGTCAGTATTGCTATTGACTCTGGCAATATAGTGTATGTTGGTGAACTGAGGAACAATCATATATCAATATTCTCTACTGATGGAGAGTGTATCAAGTCATTTGGAAGAGAAGGTCCTGCGGAGTTTGATGGTCCATATGGACTAGCAGTAGACAAGAAAGGAACACTGTATGTCAGTGACTTTGGGAACTCTGATCTCCACCTAATAACACAACAACACAAACACCCACCTGTACTTCGGTTGTGCTTGTATATACATATTATATTGTGATAGGTATAAACTCTTGTACTCAGTCAGTGATTTCAGTAAAATCTATTGACAAGTGGGAGCGAGCTGACTTAGTTGTCTGAACAGCGCGTGTCGAAACTAATTACATCATCTCACATATTCATTTATACTACCCACTGCGAATAGGCAATCGCACACCACAACAAAAGTAGCTGTTAGAGAAAGTTTAACCTTCGGCCCGCATGCGCAGCAAGGGTTACAGTACTTGGTCTGTGTGTGTGTCGATGATTATTGGCACTACAGGCTACAAGGCGGCCTATAAGCGTTACCAACGGCTTTATACCTACATACCAGTGTCTAATTTAACACTTTTCCTGAAGACTGCGTTTAAGAGATGAGCCATGAATTATAAGTGAAAATGAATCCTGGCCACTGCGCATTGATGACATATACCCAGAGGAGCTTAAACTAAAAAGAACATCTGAATCACCAACAACTAATGGACTGTTGTGTAAACTTTGGAAGCCAGACAATTTGCACTACGCCTAGCGCTAGATGTTGTGATAAGGACTTCCTGTCCAATACTGATACCTGTGCAGCCCGCAGCCCACAGCTCAGAATACAGCGTATATTCCTAGCACCGGGTTGTTTGAAGTTGGACTACAAACTTAGATATACATATACGTAACTATAACAAATGGGAAATATTCCACAGCAGTATAATAATTATTATGATAAACGGATGATTTTAACTTCAAAATTGTAAATTTTCCATATCTAAGTTCCAATATTCCATCTGGACCAGCATACGGAGTCTATATTTCCCAAATAGTACGTATAGGTAGAATATGTAGTGATTACTTGGATTTTACGTTGAGACATTTCAAACTAACGGAGCGACTGATTCATCAAGGATACAGATACTCTGATTTCTGCAGGTCCTTTTATAAGTTTGCTAAAAAGCACGCACAAACTGCATGAAATATAGCTGCGGCATACGCAAACATGTGGAGGATGGTATATGTCTGCCAGCAATGGATAGGTTCCTCAGTCGCCATGTCTCGCATAGATAGAATGTATATTTATAGTCATATTTATTTTGGATAATCTATTTTTAACATTTCTATTTCTACCATTTCTACTATTATTTATATTTTTCTTACACGTGTATATGCTGTGCGTTATTTAGAGTAATCACACGTTTTTTATGTCTCCGTCGTGTTGTCGTGCTGCGAGTTTCAGAGTTTTTATATTTTTCTATGAGTTTATTGGTCCTTTGAGGCTTTCTATTATTCTACCGGCTGTTGTTTTTATCCTGTAGCTGTCGTTTTTTGTACATGATTTCTATCTATTTATTTTCGTGTAAGGGAGGTTGGGACACTGGGCGTGTAGGGAGAGTTGGGCCCATAAAATACTCTTTAACCTACCGCCCCAGTTCTCAAGGCTGGGCACCCAGGGTCCTGCCTCTTTCTTTCTGTTTATATGTTATTGTCTGTGTTTTTGTATGCTTCTTGTCTGTGTTTTGTGTGCTTGGGTATGTTTTGTGTGCTTGGGTGGGGGAGGTTCTTCCTTTTCCTCTGATATTATACTTTTAGCTAGTATGCTATAAACATGTTTTTTTACATTACTTTTAGAGTCTGCAAGGTATGTATATACCTGTTTGTGTGTAGATCATGTATGAAGAGACAAGATTAAACTCTAAGTACCCAAAGGACATACTGGACTCCAAAGGGTGGAGTGGCCTCGCCTCATTTGGGAGTGTACTGTGTGTCGGGAGTATAAAGAGGCCGAAACACGCAGTGCATGATGAACAATGAGGAACTCTCCTGATGACCAGTTTGGATGTCTTTTGGCAGGGTTATGTATACTCAGATTCAGGAAAGAACTTAATAAAAGGAAAGAAAAAAAACGTTGGCTTTGCATTTCTTAATGCTCACACGAGTGCGGACAAAAGACCGCCCAACTGAGTTTATCACTCCTCCTTTAAATCTCTCCCAGGCTCTCACCTGATGGGTGACCCTGCCTCTGATTTTCAGGGGGGGTTGGTAAAATCCCCGGCCCTCAACCCAGCGGGGGCAAGCCTCTGGGTTATCTTCCTAGTGGTGGGGTTACACTCGTGATAGAGTATAGGATACAGGATATGGATAAAGAATGCTAGGTTAATCTCCATTATATACGTACCTGGGTCTGAGTTGCATGAAATAATAAAAATAAATAAATAGTGTTGGTACTAGGAAACTATCCCTGTTTTGACTGGGTGAAGGAACATTCTCAGGAAACTATAGATAGTATACATAACATACAAACTATTCTCTCAAAACAGTCTGGAACACTCCCCAAACAAAGGAAGACACCATGTCTCAACTTGGAACCAAGGCTTTTCTTCAACACCAAAAAGAGGTATATCTACAGCATAGCCGCATTGTCGACCGAGCTCAAACCTCTCTTAATCACCAACACCGACTTCAGTCCCACGATACCATCCCCAAAAAATATAAACCTAAGCCACCAGTAGTTATTGACCCCTCTCTTAATAAAACACACATGGAGAGCTTTCAGATAGAATACAGCAAACTCTTCCGACAGGCACTAAAAGAAGCAATCATAAAAAACACCACAACTCTCGAGCTAGAGAAAGCAAGGTGCCAAGATGTGTTACGACACACCGAGAAAGTTTTATGCTTATCACCCGATCCTCCATCACTTGTTTTAAAGTGGTACAAAGCTTTTTTACGAGATATCAAAGCAACTGAGCATGTTATCTGCCCGGAATTGAAGATAAAACTAGGTGACACATCCACTGTTGGCACTACAATGCCATCAAGAAGAGCCACCTGCCGTCAACCAAAAAGGAAACGGCCATCCAAGCGTAAGACAACCAGCACAACTCCACCGGCAACAAAACAACAAAAAATAGATCATTTTTTAGTCAAAGGCCACCAAATAACTCAAAATCAAACATAGGAATACACAATCTAAGTACGCACCCACTTACACCTCAAGAAATACAGCTACTACGTAAAGGTCTTTCATTTGCTCCTACCCCTATGATCCCTTCCCAAGAAATGCACAGATACTTTCTAAACAAGTACAATATGTTCTGTAAGTCCTTAAGGCTATCCAGTAGAAAACGATCCAATCACAGCTCCAGCAGCTCTCCTAGTCTCACCAAAGAGGTAGATCACCCCAGCAATGTTTACAGAAGAATAAAATTCCTACCACAACCTGTATATGATTCAACTATCACAAACTATTCGGGCATTCCTCCTCTCGAGGACTATATATTCCACACTAAAGATGTTTTAGACAAAACCCTACCAGCCATCTGTAGACAAAAAGAAAATAATCTCTCTCCTCAACAACAAAAAATCATGAAAAAACTACAAAGGTCACGTCAGGTTATAACTATTAAACCGGCAGACAAAAACCTAGGAGTAGTAGTTTTGGACACAGAAGATTATTTAATACAATGTTGTAACCTTCTTACAGATGAAAAAACATACAGACAAGCAAAACTATATCCGCATAATGAGATAAGGAATAAAGTTATGAACACAGTAGTAGCCTTCAAGACAACCATCCAGAATGTCAGTAAAAAGTTATACAGTTATCTTCAGCCTCCCACCAAAGGAAATCATCAGATACCCAAATTATATGGACTGCCAAAAATACATAAAGAGTTCGAGAGGTTGCCTCCACTGCGCCCAATCGTTGCGCAGTCTAGTTCATTGCTTACACCCACTGCCAAGTTCGTTGATCATGTCCTGCAACCGTTAGCACAGTCATACAAAGACTACATTCAGAACTCAACGTCTCTGATACTTCGCCTTCAAACCTTAGAAATTCCAAAAAATGCAGTTCTTGTAACGGTCGATGTAGAAAGCTTGTATCCATCCATTCCCCAGACAGAGTGCCTCAAAATCGTTTATGAACAGATGACTAAAAAAAGACACCTGATTCTCACCAACCCAAACCTCATCATCAGACTTCTACATGTCAATGTTAATTACAATTATTTTGATTTTGCTGGCTTAATCTTTCAACAGACTCATGGAACTGCCATGGGTGCGGCATTTTCTCCCACCATGGCAAACATCTTCCTCTCTGTTACACTCAAGAACTTCCTACAAACCCAACCAACTAAACCACTACTGCTTGCGAGATACATCGATGACATTTTCATAATCTGGCCCAATGAAGACACCCTTGACCAGTTCATTCTTTCTCTGAACTCTTACCATCCAAACCTGAAGTACACCCATGTAAGCTCAAAATCGAGTGTAAATTTTCTAGACCTAACCATATACAAGGGTCCAAACTTCAGCTCTTCTCATAAACTAGATGTAAAGACGTACCAAAAGCCCCAAAATCTCTATCAGTATCTTGATTTTTCGTCAGCCCATCCAAAGCATGTTTTTAAGTCTTTAGTATCAGGAGAATGTATTAGATATGTACGCTCGAACACCAGGCTAGAGACATTCGTCGCCACAACTAAACTGTTCCAAAAGCGACTACAAGAAAGAGGTTATTCAAATAAATTTGTCGGCAAGATTATATCAAGAGTGCAGTTCTCCAATCGTCAACAATACCTCACCAGAAGTACTCTTCAGCAACAACCAAAATGTGTACCATTACCTCTTTTTAAGTGCCATCCTCCACCGCAGTTTGATAGGTTGAAACAAGTCATTCTCCGCCATTACAACCACATCGATCATCTAGTACCACCTCCACGTTTTATCACCCTGTCTCACTCTACTCTTCGAAAGTCTCTCATTAGAGCATCAGTCAAACCTACATTAGAGCAATCCTTCGATATTGTACTTCGATTCCAACATGCTTCACAAGACACTCAGCACAAAGTCAGCGGATCTCTACCAGTCCTCCAGAAAACATATTCTCTTATCAGACCATGCCGACATAAACTGTGTCGCACTTGTGCCCACATGAACGGTAGTCTGGTCTTTTCTAGCAGTGTCACAAAACAGACTTTCCCAATCCGGTATAGCGCCACGTGTACCTCATCTAACGTAATCTACCTTATCACGTGCACCAAGTGCAGAAAACAGTACGTAGGTATGACCACCAAACAGCTGAATATG